TATATAAATTTTAATAAATTATATTTATTATATTTATTATTTTATTATATTTAAAATATTAATATTTTATTATATTTATTATATTTATTATTTTATTATATTTATTATATTTATTATTTATTTTATTATATTTATTATATTTATTATTTATTTTATTATATTTATTATATTTATTTAAATTTATATAAATTATGTAAATTTCGAAAATTTTCGTTTTAAAATTTGGGAAGAAGTTTTTCGAATTCGAGTTGTCGAACTTTCTTTGTTGAATATTGGAGGGTGGATAACGAAGAGGAGGAGAAAGAGAATGTGATTAGAGACGTTGTGGCAAAATTTGGAAAGGGTTTGAAAGTTTTTTTAAAATTTAACGAAACGACGAATTTAATTAGATATTTTTTGGTTCCGGAGAAAAAGTGATTTGACGCGAGATAAGGGAGCGAAGATCCGACAAAGGATAATTTTATTCCCGTAGGACCGTTTTAACTCGGGGATAACGTGTCAGAATTTCGACTCTGTTAAATATTTATTGGGATGTATAAATATATATTTTGCGGTGTTTCGGTAAATCGGTAAAGAAGGATTTATATATATAGAAAATTGAACGTTCAGGATAGTTTCGACGATAGTTTATTTTAAAACCCCTGTCAATCTAAAAACGTTTGCATTTGATATTAATTTAGACTCAGAAAGGAATAAACGAGGTTGCCAATTATATTTGCGAGAGAGAGAGAGAGAGAGAGAGAGAGAGAGAGAGAGAGAGAGAGAGAGAGAGAGAGAGAGAGAGAGAGAGAGAGAGAGAGAGAGAGAGAGAGAGAGAGAGAGAGAGAGAGAGAGAGAGAGAGAGAGAGAGAGAGAGAGAGAGAGAGAGAGAGAGAGAGAGAGAGAGAGAGAGAGAGAGAGAGAGAGAGAGAGGGAGGGAGGGAGCGGGCTCGTCGAAGTTGGTGAAAATTTCGTTTCGTTTGATTTGTTATTAAGATATAATTCTACATAACGCGAAAGATCACGTCTCCTTTCTTTCTCTTTGTAATTATAATTTAAAATTTGACGTTTAGAAGAATTTGATTATTTCATTTTCGCGACGGGGATATTTTGTTTTAAACTGAAATTTAATAATCCATCCTTTTCGCATAAAAAAAGTCTCGCTCGTGTGATTTTCGGCTTTATACGACGAACTGTTTTTTTTTTTTTTCCCTCCCTATTTCTCTGCTTCCGTGCAACATGCGTATATTTCACTTTTATATTAATCCTTTAACCCAATTTAAAACCCAATGAAATGAAATGCTAGACCTAGCAGAGATATTAAAAACACGTTTACAATTTCAATTTCGCTAAAATTTTCATTTCTCATCTTCGTGTTCGTTTTTTTTTTTTGTTTTGCGCGCGCGACATTAGATAAATTTTTCACCGTTACGATATTAACAGTGTCATGATATTGTAATATTTTAATACGGGGGGAAACAAAGGTGTAAAATCGTTCATAAATCTCTGAAAAATTAGTTCGCATAATAAATCGAAAAGTTTCGTTGTCCAGAAAGCTTTATTATTAATGATAATATATTTCTAGCTTAATTAAATTAAATTAAATTAAATTAAAAATATCGTACTTAATTAAATCGAAAGCAAATTTCTTACTCATTTCCTTTAATAATATCCAATATATTCTTATAAAAAAATTACACAAGCGTAAATATCAATAATTGAACGCGTGCGAAGAGATAATGCAATTAGGAAAATACGTAATAAAATAAGTAATTAACTAAAAAGACACACAGCGTGCAAACAAAGATCGATGAATCCTAAAGCTTTGAGAGTTGCACAGTCGTTAACTTCGAATACGGAGAGGAGAGGAAATTCTAATAGCAAACACGAGACAGTTTCGCAGTTTTTTCGAATCGAGCAACTACAAACTCTCGCCTGTGTTTATTCGTGGCCAACTTCGAGAGAGCAAACGAACGAAGCCGATCGAAACCCGCGATCCTCGGCGCACACTTTCGTGAAAGCGGATAGGAGAAGCGAGGGAAGAAGACGGGCATCGAACCGAATTCCTCGGTTTGTTCGCCCGTGTTTCTCTGTTTACTTTCGCCTAATTGCATAGCAAATCGGCCGATTACCACTTGCGTTCCCGTATTCGAATTTTTGCAATGCAAAAAGCATTTGTTTCGAAAGCCTTTGCCGTTTGTTTGTCGGCGATAAATAACGGCGAGAAACGTTTCTTGTTATATTCGTTTTGAAACAAGTGAGATGATATTTTCATTCCTCGAGAATATTATTATCCGTTGGTGAAAAAGAAATCTCGCGAAAGGAATGCTTACAATCTGATTGGTTAACTTGGCTAGTTACGATTTGTAATGATAGTTTAATTTATAAATGTAATGTAATAATTTATAAATTTAATTTATAAATAAAATAATTTATAAATGTAATAACATAATAAATAAATGTTTTATATTCGAATAGTTAAGATAATAATTATATACGAATAGATATATTAATAGTTTCTATTTATCACATATTATTAATAAAATTAATAAAACAACGATCTAAACCTCGATGTATCATAAACATGGAATTTAGAATATTTTATAATATAAAATTATTTTTATTTCTTGTAATGCGTAGATTAATATTACGATTTTTAACGATCTTTTTAATTTATAAATGTAATTTTGTATATGAATTAAGATAATAATTATATGAATAGATATATTAATATTATATCGAAATAATTATATAGTTTCGAAAATATTTCTTGAGTTCTTCTACTTATGTAGCTTGTGGTGTCAGGATCGTCAACAAAGCGTGTGAAGTGGGGATAAATGACCCCTCTTGCCCCTGTGCCGTCCCGCGAGACTTTTTTTCCACCAGTGAACAGTACATTTATCTTCGGTTTCGCTTTCAAATTATTATATGATGGAGCGTGGATGTTTATACATTTGTGCAAGGTTGAAATACACAAAATAATTTCTATAAAATGCATAAAAAGAGAAAAAATAAAGCATTAAGCATTGCGATAATTAAAGAAATTAAATCCTCGTTCAAGTTCTACAATTTTATATAAATATTCCATTTATTACGAATAGATTCGTGTATTCTTACGTTTCTTAATATATTTTATAATAAAAGATAGCACGATTTTGTATAGAATAATTTTATATTAATTCAATTCGAAACGAAAAAATTATATGAAACTTTTCATAGCTATAATTTCAAAGATGATAATTTAGAAGGAAACGCATTTTTGTAAGTAAATCTCGATGTATCAGCGTAGACATTTTATTCAGAGTATTTTAACATATAATATAAAATTATTTTTATTTCTCGTAATACGCCTAGGTTAATTACGATTTGTAACGAATTTAATTTAAATATAATTTTGTATTCGAATAATTAAGCTAATAATTATACATATACGAATATTATCGAAATAATTAATAGTTTCGAAAATATTTCAACTTCTGAATCCTAATAAAATGATTATCGATTTTGAATCGGTTGAAACTATAGCTCTTCTACTATTATTATTATACAATATATAGCATCAACAGGTTTATCAACAAAGCGTGTAAGGCAGTTTTCTGAGCCTCCCGCGAAATTTCTTTCCAGCCAGTGAACAATACAGGATTCATATTGAAAATATTATATCTCGGTTGGTAGGCAGAGCATTGAAAAAGTAATTATTCATTAAAATGCTCGAATAACATTTACTCGTAACTATTTATAATTGATCCAATCTTTTCTATAATATAACTTCTACACTGTTGCCACTACAATTATTCAGAAATTATTCTTTTCAACTTATCGAAGTTCTTTTGAACTTTCTTTCGAAATTATATCGAAGTAACTTTATTTTCAATTTCGACTATCAAAATTTCACCGTCTATATTGCTATATTGGCGTAAAGTGCGTGAATTGGATACTTACGGGCTTGGATCCTGAAGGAGAGTGGCCAAAGTCAATGCGTTCACCCATTGATTCATGCTCTCACGGCTGTCGGCCGCGAAGTGATAGGTCCTCATGTTCGCGTGTTCAGCTTTGAACGCGAACTTCCTGTTAACTTTGTCCTCTGGTTTGCACACGGTAACTCTGTACGACGGCAACAATATCGAACCCAATAATTTCTCCTCTTCAGGACCTGAAATTAATTTTTTTTTTTTCTTCTTTTGAATCTAATTTTTGACCGATTGAACACGAAACAACAATAATTTCTCCACGTTCGAAACTCGAGAAAAATAGGAAAATAAAGGAAGTGAAACGGAATCTCGGACACGTGAGGAATTCTCGGTATAATTTTCCAACTACTCCGAATTTCATCAGAATTTCGAGAACTTTTCTCGTTTCGTCTTCGTTACCATCAGTCGTGGGATGTCGTTACTGTTTCTATTATATGCATGTGCTAACGAGAACGGCATACAAATGTGATATATTCGAGACAAAACAAGCAAATCTTGGAATAATACGTTTCCATTCTTAAAAGAAGCCATTTATATATATACACATATGATAACAAAAAAATGATTCAAAATGTCTTTAAAAAAGTTTTGTATAATTCAACGTGCATTAAAGTACAATTTTCTTTGTCGTAACGATAGACAGAAAAATTGAAAAAAAGAAAAGACCAGCAATTTTATTGTTTAAGCAATTTGTTCACCCGCTCAGAAATGTACAAAACTTTTTCAAACTTCCGACCAAATACTTCAAGATTAAACAATCTCTTGAGAACTTTGCGCCGTCCGTCTCGATTCAGTGAGACTTTGGACGAAAGAAAAAATATTGTTATTATTGTTACGAGAAAAAATAATACTGTATTATTTTATTACAATGTTTAACAGAAAATTTAATTTCCTCCACGGATCGATCCTCCATCTTTTAATAAAAAGTCTACGTGGAAATGTTTATCTAGAAAGAATGTTTATATAAAATTTCCAGCTATCGAACTTAATATAATATAATAATAACTTTATATAATATATAAAATATTATAAAATATTTAATATATAAAATATTATAAAAATTAGAGAAATGGATTTTCCGCCTTGAGAAAAAATTTATTTTCAAATTCAGAGAAATAAGAAATTTCTGAACAAAATTTCCATTTCCAAATCTATCTCGTCTTAACAAAAAAGATTGTAGACCAAGAAAATTATGCAAAATTGGAGATAAAATTCCAAAATTCTCTGATCAAAAAAGGTGTTGTTCAAAAGAACGACTTGGAGTAACGAAGAAGACGATAAAAAAGAAAAATTTTGGATCGCGTGCTCGATAAATGGTTGAAGAGACGCGGAGAGACACGCGGAAATCATTTTACGGGATGACAAATGGAAAGATTCGATTTGAATGCGTCCGAAAATCCTAACGCCATTGACACGCGTTAACCCGGTTGCAACTCTCCTCCCCTTCAACTCTTGTGTGGACATAAATCACGCGCTCAACAGAGGAAGAGGAAGAGAATAAAAAGGATCTTATAAATTTGGGAATGCCAGGAATGGACGTCGACCGAGGAACAATGACACGGATTCAGAAAGAGAAATTGGTTGGAATTTTAAAATTTCTATTGCCAGCGTGTTATCTCTTCGATAAGAGCCTTTTTTCTTTCATAATTTCTTTCTTTTATTATAATAACAACAATCGCAAGATAATGTATATTAATCGATATATATACATCTTTCGTTCCATTCGTTTTCACAGAAAAAAATTAATGGAAAATTGTCCAGAATATTGTAAGAAATATTGTTTGATTACAATGTAATTATAATTTTGTCCAAAATATTGTAAGAAATATTGTTTGACTATAATGTAATTATA